ACCTCTTTTTGAACCCAGATATCCTGCCCACCAGGCTTTTCCAATTATCTTTCACACGACTTTGCGGCCTCCCACTATCATCGTGCCCTACTGCAGGTGCCCCTCCTGGCGGCGGCGGCTCAGTAGGTTTTAACCCTTTGCTTGGCCAAGCCTATTTTTTACTATTCCTTTTCTGGGAACCCGGGAGTCGCACTTCCCTTCTTTCCCTCTTTGCAAACACTCTGCTCATCCGCGCGCATCCAATCAAGCCCTGTCCTTCCGTACACTGGCTTTCACCCCAAGAACGTAGGCGCCGAAACCTAGTTCAGGGATGGGGCGTCTTCACGGAGGAGAGAATAGCTGTCACACCACACTTTCCTGGGTCCTTAGGAGTTCCATGAAACGCATTCCATGAAACTCCCTGGGAGTCCGTAGACTCCCCTTCGGAAAACTTCAATGGAACTTCGGGAGGTTTAACGAAAAGCGTCTAGAAACGCCCTTCTGGCACTCACCGTAGAAAACAGCTAGTGGGCCCATATCTGGGTATTTAATAATCTGTTTTCCCCCGTTGTGGACTCTATGTCACCGGAGATTGCCCGCATTCTCCACCAGATGTTAGCACCCAATTTTAGGTTTCAGTTGGTTTCAGTTCTCCGGCAGGGAATAACAGATAAAGATAGTGCATCAATCAGACTACGTATATGTGAGTCACTTTTTATTAAACATATAGCTGGACCTCATCTTAAAAGACAGATCGGGGCCCCATCATGCATGTGGTACAGCATTTTATAAGATTCTTACACAAAATGCAATAAGCACAGCATCCCCTTATTGGTCTCCTGAACCTTATAGGTGCCTGTTAGATCATCCTATTGGCCATGGTAGATGTGAGAAAAAAAAAATCCAAATTGCATCCCAGGGTTAGTGGCTGCCAAGTTTGTGAATGTGTGAACCATTGTGCAGCTTATCTTTAAATATGTTAATGACTTACAGTCTTTGCCCTGAATGTGCTGTGAATTTGTTATTCTGAGTTGGCCTTGAAGGGGGGGGGGCGTTCTCACAAAGCTGTGTGATAATATAGGAATGTTTGTGAGCGCCAAGCGGGAAAAGCCAGGAGATTCAATACTTTGAGATGAAATGAGGATGCAAAATACATTGACTATAGAGAATACATATAAATACAGATACAAAAATGCATATAGAATATCATTATAGTAAGGAAATAGTAGGAAATCATATTTGCCCCCTATCAAACTGACAAATACAAAAGGACAAATATTCTACATATCAGCGATTTCTCACAAATAACTTGATTTTTTTTTATTTGTCCCTGTGTCCTGTCCTCAACAGCCCAGCTTAGCTCTTGGAAACCAAAGCCTGTGGGTTCCGGGAGTCAGTATATCTCGTATTTGGTCTTCCTTATTTCCTGCTGCCTTTCAGCCTTCAAAACATTGACTTTTCCACAGAATCTTGCCTTCTTGTGATCTGCCCAAAGGCGGGCAACCTCAGTTCCAATGTTTTTTACTCTAGATAGTTGAGACTTGATTTGATCTAGGACCCACTTGTTCACCTTTCTGGCAGTCCAGAGTATCTTTAAAAGCTCTTGTCCAGCACATTTCAAATGAATCCATATTTTTCCTGACAGCTTTATTAACTGTCCAGCTTTTACACCCATACATGGACATACAAGCATATGGATGGTCTTGGTCTCCAGTTACAATGTTTTCTAATGCCTTCATTGCTGCCCTTCTGATCCTCCTGATTTATTGGTTGCAGACTCCATTATGATTGATGATTGAACCAAAGTATATAAAATATTCAATTTCTTCATTGTCAACATTAAAGTTGTGTAGTTCTCATGTAGTCACAATTTTTTCTTTTTAATATTCATCTGCAGTCCTGCTTTGGTGTTTTCTTCTTTCACTTTCATCAGAAGTCATTTAAAATCATTGCTGCTTTCTGCCAGGGAGATAGTGTTGTCTGTATACCTTAAATTATTAATATTTCTACCATCAATTTTCACTCCTCCATCTGAATCTAGTTTAGCTGTCCATATGATATGTTGTTATTTAAATTAAAATATTTCTATGCTGTCTTCCTTCTGAAGGATCCAGTGTGGTTTATAGCATTAAAAGAAACAAAAGTTAAAATTCCTTTTGGTCAACCAATCTGTTACCCGCTAAAGGGGGTTACAAGCTCCGGCGAAGGACAACAGACCACGATGTACCCAACCAGCTGTTATTTATGCCAATTTATTAAGATACACAGCTAGGGCCCAATCTCTTAAAGCAGAGAAGAGCCTCGATATTGATTTGAATCAGAATTATATAGGGTTTTACACAAAGAGCCATAAAGAGAAGTATTACGATTGGTGCCTTGAACCCATACCTTTCAATCCTGCCTGTTATTGGCCAAAGATATTTTGTAAGTTCAATCTATTGGGCCCATTTGAATTTCTCATGTAGTATCTCGTGTCCCTTTAACCTAAAGGTCATCTTACTCCCCAAAAAGAGTCAACGTGTCTCCTCTGAGCATGTCTAGATTTCCCTTATCTCTATTTGTATGTTTATGTAACGTTTGTCTGCCTTCCTGGGCCTCGATATACAGTGGACCCTTGACTTACAGACGGCTTGACTTACAGACTTTTTGAGTTACAGACTTCTCTGGCCGCAAAATTTAGGTTTGACTTGCAGACTGAGATTTGATTTACAGACCAGAAAAAAACCAAAATGGAACAAAAACGGCTTGTTACGGGATTAATCGGTTTTCAATGCACTGTAGGTCAATGGAGACTTGACTTACAGACTTTTTGACTTGAGAACCGCCTTCCAATACGGATTAAGTTCTCAAGTCAAGACCCCACTGTATGGCCTTCAGAGAAACAATTCTCCTACGTGTGTTAAACTGCAGATGGCTATAGCTTCCTCCCCCCTCATTCCGATGGCCCATCCATCTCCTGAATTGTCTTCACAACAACCCTTGTTGATGAAATAGATCCTCTAATTGTTATGGGAAACGAAACCCAAATACTCTCTTCTTGGAGACATTCTCTCTTTCCTCAGAGGCCAGGAAGGCCATTGAAGACCTGATGAACTTAAGCCTGCTTTGATATGCAAGAATGTGAAATGCTAGGTGTAAATCTTTTTGGTTCAAAGGAAGATATTTTTGCTCAAAGGTCAAGAGTTCCCAGGTTGAATTAAAGGCACCCAGAAAAGAGATATACATACACATATAGATATAAATGTATACTAGAATAATCAATAAATGCAAGGATTAAACCATAGTACATTACAAAATAGCATAATCAATGTAGGAAATAGTGTTATTCAAAGTACTCTGCTTGTGTTACATTATAATTCAATAAGTCCCTGGTCTCAAATCCTTCAAAGGAAAGCCTGCCTGAAGAGAAAGGTCTTTGTCTGCTTATAGAAGGACAGCAAAGATGGGACCAGCCTAGTCTCCCATAGGAGGGAGTTCCAGAGTTTGTTTTGCATACAGATTGAGCAGATAGGTATAAAAACACATCTTGAGTGGAGTCAGAAAAAGCTGATCAAGTAGTATTTGTACATTGCAATGGAGCCATTATAAAAAGAACACTATTCTGCAAGTTGGGGGATTGTAGCATGATGTAAAATATATGGTCCTATAGACATCACTGGCCTGCATCTCCCATTATCCCTTACTGGGATAATGGAATGTGCTATGCTGTCTTGGCTTGGTGGGACCTGCAATCCATCAGTGAGCTCTACCCATTCCCCATGTTGGCATAAAGGAATCCGCTAAAGTCATGCAACACAGGTGAGACCTGAGATATGCTGTCATAACCACAGCTTCTGGTAATAGAACTTCCTGGTGACTAGCAGAAGGCTCTTCCAGCTGAGCTGGTTTGACAAAGATAGGAAAAACACACTTATGCCAAATCCTTCATTCTTTCTTCCTCAGCCATGCCCCTGTTGCTGGCAGTACTCTACACCAACTCACAGCCTGTTATAATTTCCTTCCCACTGATTTCCGTAGGAGAAATGAAAGATACAGTAATAGGCACGAATTTGTTGACCCACCCAAGCTGCCACAAGAAGGCATAAGATACGGTGTGACTCAGCACCAAGCCACCACCGGCTACGCCCGGTGGGGCCGGCGAAGGGGCACTGGTGCTTTGGCAGCTATAGTCCAAGTAGTCAGCCTGGGTGGGGAGGGGAAAAAAACTTGCACGCAAATAAGTAATAAATACAAAACAAACAAGCAAAAAAACAAAAACCACCGCGGTGCCTCTTAGATAAAACAGGTTTGGGTCAGTATGCGCTTTCAGGGATTACAATCCACAAACCCTCGACAGAAGCCGTACGATATTAAGGCCACAGATTCGTATCCACGGTGCACGTGGCCTCAGGAGCGGAGACTTAAAAAAAAAACAACCCGGACAGTCGCCCTCTCGACGAAGCAAAAGGGCTTTGCTCACACAGCCCGGCCTCCGGATTGCCCAAGAACTGGAACGTACTGGCAATTGCTTACACTTCTCTGGTTAGGATGCGAGCGGAAACTTAGTGCTGTGTTCATTTACTTTATTGGAACAATCTTGCTTAGTTTCTATAACTAACAGAGAAACGCTGTTGACGCGATTTGCTCTCTTTTCTCCAAGAATGCTGCTATTTGCAACTTTTTAAAAAAACCCGGGAGGGAGTCGGGGAAAAAGAAGGACGCCTAAACCGATGGCACCACTCGTCTCCCATCCACGTGTCCTCTCCTCAGGCTGCCGGGAAGTGGAGCCCTTCCGTTTTCCTCCAGACTACAACCTCTCACTATACACGGCGGCCCCAAAGCGCAAGCGCAGGCAGTGACCTCAAAGCACCTCTTGTTTCCTAGAGGCTTTCGGGAACGATAGTTCGGAGGGGCGCGTAGTCCAGGGTCCGCTGCAGCAAAGCGAACTTCCTTTCCCAGCAAGCTTTGCGAGGCGAGGGGGGCCGAGGCGAGGGTGGACGGAGGATGTGCGCGCGGGGAGAGGGGGAGGAGGATCAGTTGTCACGTGCAGTGCGAGGTGCGTGTGCGGCTGATGCTGTGGAAAGGAGGAGGAGGAGGAGGTGGCTGGTGCTGCTCTGGCTACGCTGAGCGGGGGCTGTTGTTGTCGCTCTCGGCGGCTCGGCCCGCAGCGCCTGCCACGAAGGCCCCGGAGCGGCCCGGGCGGGCGACGGCACCCTCGGCAGCATGAGCGATAACGATGACATCGAGGTGGAGAGCGACGTGAGTTTCACGCGGCTCTCCCTCAACCCCCTTTCCCCACC